CCCCGGGCTCCGGGCTCCGTTCCCCGCTCCGGGCTCCGGGCTCCGCTCCGGGCTCCGGGCTCCGTTCCCCGCTCCGGGCTCCGTTCCCCGCTCCGGGCTCCGTTCCCCGCTACGGGCTCCGTTCCCCGCTCCGGGCTCCGGGCTCCGCTCCGGGCTCCGGGCTCCGTTCCCCACCCCGGGCTCCGAGCTCCGGGCTCCGGGTCCCGCTCCGAGCTCCGTTCCCCGCTCCGGGCTCCGCTCCGTTCCCCGTTCCCCGCTCCGGGCTCCGTTCCCCGCTCCGTTCCCCGCTCCGCCCTCAGCGCCGGGGCCGCCTCTTCCCCGGGGCCCGGGCCGGGGTAAGGAGCGAGGTGCGGTGTGTCGGAGGAGCGAGGAGCAGCTCTTCGAGCCCGTCCCTGAGGGCCGGGGGAGCCAGGGCAGGGCAGAGCGGCTCCCGGAGCCCCCGAGGGCGGCACGGCCCTGGTGGGGGAGCTGCCCAGCACGGAGCTGCTCCGGGGCTGGCAGAGCTGGGGGTGCTCCCCTGGAGAGGAGGAGCTCCAGGGAGAGCTCAGAGCCCTGCAGGGCCTGAGGGGCTCCAGGAGAGCTGCAGAGGGGCTGGGGACAGGGGATGGAGGGACAGGACACAGGGAATGGCTCCCACTGCCAAAGGGCAGGGATGGATGGGACATTGGGAATTGGGAATTGTCCCCTGGGAGGTGGCACAGCTGTGGCTGCCCCTGGATCCCTGGCAGTGCCCAAGGCCACTGTACACTTTACTTGGAGCAGCCTGGGAGGTTTTTTCCCCACCATCTCATCTATCCATACTCTCTTTCCATTTCAACGCATTCCCCCTTGTTCTGTCACTACCTGCTGTTGTAGCTAGAAAGGAGGAAATCTGCATTTAATTTTTTTAAAATGAAGAGTTTTATCCAAGCATTACTGCAATCCACTACAGATTTGAAAAGAATGCTGCTGAGGTGTCACAGCTAATGTTCAGTACTGTACGCTTACCCGGTGGATCTGACCGTGTGCTGCTCTAATCCTGCTTTGGCTTGATGACGACTGAGTTGTGATTTTACCCATCTGCTGTGCTGTTTAATCTGCTGTGATGTGACTGTAACATCCCAATGTACCTCCCATGCTGCTGTAAGTGATCAGTGAAACTGATCCTGTTTTGGTTTTTATTTGCAGTGCAGTCCCATGGCAGCTGCCCCAGCAGAGAGCTCCGGCAGCCACGGGAAGGGGCTGGGGTTGAGCCGCAGTGACAGCAGCCCTGCCTTGGACTATTCAGGGGACACCTTTGAGTCCTTCAGCGAGGAGCAGGAGAGTGAAACACCTGGATCCTGGTGTTCCACAGAGGATTTGGAGGGGGCAGCTGCGTCAGAGGCTTTGGAAAGCTCATCATCACTGGCAGGCCAAAGTCCTGCAGGTATGCAGAGCTCTCCCTGCTTGGGGCCTGCCTTCCACAGCTTCAGTCACTCAGTGCAGTGGGGACTTGAATCAGTAAAAATAAACGTGAAAATTGCATGCAATGTCCCTGCTGTGCAAAGTGTCCTCCAGATCCATGCTTCAGACAGCTCCATGGGAAGGACTTGGCCATGGAAATCCTTCCCTAGTAATCTTGTGAGGCTGAAATTCTGCTGGCCCCTTAAAAAACAATTCTCCAAGCTACTTTTTTCCATGTATGAAAAGTATCTTGTTTTGTCGCTACCTGCTGTTGTAAATAGTCTTACATTTTCTTCCATTTAAGTTCCTTTTAGATACTAGAAAGGGAGAAATTTGCATTTAATTTTTTTAATGAAGAATTTTATCCCATAATTACAGCTATCTCACTTTTTTACCATATATGAAAAGTAGCTGGGCCATAAAACAATTTTTTTCATGGGGTAGTTCCATGATTTGAAATACTGAAGAGGGCTGGGTAGGACCTTAAAGCTGCAGGAGATGAGGGATAAAGCAGAAGCTGAAATCTGTGGCCTCATCTGTGTATTGCTGTGGCTCAGGGTTTCTCCTCCCTAGCAGGGAGGACTGGCACATTCAAGTGGAGGATTATTTGCCTCCCACTTTGCTTTCCTCACAATGTGTCTTCAAAGTTGCCTTTTTTCCTTGCAGAGGAGGAGTTTGAAGCAGTGGATCCTGCAGCCATGGAAAGAGCTGCCATAGGAAAATGGATTGATGCCATGGGAAAACGGATTGATCTGAAAAATAAAGACACTGGGATTAGGTCAGACAAATCTTCCCTCAGAACTCCTGCTGGTGAGTTGGGTAACTTCAGCAGAGGCTGTAATTGTTGCTTTTGGAAGGAGATGTAAACTTGACTTAATTTAACAACCTGTGTATAAAATTTAAGCCAGCTAATTAGCCAAGTAATTAAGTACAAAGTTTCTCCTTTATGCTTTATTGGAGAGCAGTTTGTCTCCCATATCTCACATGGCTTTGATGCTCCCCCCATGTAGTGACATTATCCTGGTGATGCATTACCACAAAACCTGGAAAAGTACATTAAAAATGTCCCCATGTTTGACATTTAATTGTTTAATTGAATTCAGGCTTTTTATCTCCTGCTGTAGAGGTACTAGGAAATTCAGGCACTTTTCCCTCCAAAGCAAACATGACTTCAGAATTTATTGTGTGAAATGGGTTTTCCCCCTTGTTAATCAACAGTATTGATAATTGAATTGTTTGCCCTGTTTTAGTTCCTTTCCCAAGCTGAGGGAGGCAGTAGGGCACCAATTTTGGTAGGAACAATGGAGCAGCTTTACCCAAATAATGATGGAGTGTAGGGAGGAGGAGGAGGAGGAAGGAAAGGAGGAAGGAAGGATCCATTTCCATGTACTGGTTATGCAAGGAACTGTGACAGCAGATGGTGGGATGCAAGCCCTGCTAAAGTCTGTCAAAAAGTGGGTCAGAGATGCTATTTTTAATTAAGAAAAAAGAGCAAGAAAGCTGTAGCTGAGCAAAAAATAATGGGAGCAGACGGGGAATCTTCCTCAATCTACATGGTGATGGGAAGTGAGCAAACTTGGAGTTTTGTAGGTCACTGTGATCCTCCTGCCTGGGTGCTTCATGGCATGGGATTTGTGTACCAGCATCCTCAAAGCACCCAACTGTCCTAAAAAACAGCTCCTCAGGTCACTTCCAGGCTGGTGTGAATTACAGAGCTCCTTCCCAAACCCTGGCAGTGCTGGGGCTCCTGACTCCTCTCCTGCATTCCTGTTCCTGCAGTCGAGGGAAGGCATGAGTGTGGAGCAGCTCATCTGCACCAGGGAGGCTTCTCCTGGCCAAAAGACTCTTCCTAAAATACATCAGAGTCCTGTGACCGATTCCTGGAGACTGTGAGGGGAACTGATGAGTTCAGAGGCACTGAACCACAGCTGAAGGCTGAGGATGTTTTCCCTTGAAGGATTTCATTCATAGAACCACCTGCAGATCCCTGTAGTTCTGCACCGGGGAATGCTCTGCCTTTGGCTGGGGGGTGCTGCTGGCAGGGGGAGTCAGAGCGGTCACTGAGCATGGGCAGCAAGTCCTGTGTCACTGTCAAGGCAAGACGGGAATGAGAAGACTTAGATTATAAGGCTGCTGAGAGTAAAACTCCAATTTATTCAAAATACACTGCTCTTTTATACAGAGCTTTGTGAGGACCAACTCCATTGGTTCTAAAGTGAAAACAACCCACAGCATTGGTGCAAAGTGCTTGACACACAGTGATAGAACTTAACTATAAACAATATGAAAAACAAGAGATATAAAGAATATTTACATTCTTCTCCAGTTCTTTCCCAGGCCTCTGCCTGGCTGGAAATTCTCAGTTTCTTTCTTTGACTGAATCTGAGTCCCACAGTCCTGTTCCACAATCTTGAGCTGGCTTGTCTTTGCTTGTCCTGTCACTTGTCCCTGTGGCAGCCTCAGGTACATTGGTGCTTCCAATGATCCATATGAAGAGCACAAAATATGGTTCATGATTTTCTTTGATGCAAACACAGTACCCAGCCATGTTATCCCCAAATCAATCATAATGCCTTTTTTTATTGCAGAATGTTACCATAAAATAAGCACAGCAGCTTTTGTCTTCTGATATCTATACATGTTTCTATTGGACTTAATCCTTCAGCACTTGGTAGCCCCCAATTTTTGTGTTGTTTCAGCAGCTTGGAGATGTTTTTTAATGCAGTAGATGAGCTCACCTGGAAATGGATTGCTGCACAGTGAGTCGCCTCAGCACACTCAGCTCAGTGAATCGTGTGCACTGAGCACACAGGGTACTCTGAATTAGGGGCTGTTTTATTGCCTCAAGACTTTCCTTCTCATCTTACTACTAATAGGCTTAAATGTGATGGGGAGAGCAAAGGGTTCTGCTTGGCCTGTGGGAGTGCTCTGGAATGTCATTTTTATTTTTCATGGTTTTCTTTGTGGGCTGGAAGAAGAAAAACACACTGGTCTCAGGAGAGGTGAGAAATTTTCATCAGAGTTGTCTTTGTCCCTCCACCCCAGTGTGGTAGCACGAGCTGTTATTAGGCAAATGCATCACAGCACAACTGTAAAATCTCAGTTCCACAGAGATTGCTCCATGTTAGTCATCTTTAAAATGTACTCAGGAAAAGGCAATTCTTCAGCTTGGATGTATCTGAAAATTCAGGTGGGGCTCTTTAACCCCCTGGCTGGTGCTGTGCTTACAAGTTGCCTCTCACTTTTGTCATGTGTCTCCATGATCTGCTTTGCTGTTTATTTTTCTGCACTGTTCCTGTAACTGCTCCCTGGGAAGGTGGGCAGGCCCTGACACAAGCTGCCCAGAGCAGCTGGAGCTGCCCCATCCCTGGGACTGTCCAAGGCCAGGTTGGATGGGGCTTGGAACACCCTGGGACAGTGGGATGTGTCCCAGGGTGGCACTGGATGGGCTTTAAGGTCCTTCCAGCCCAGGTTGTTGTGTGACTCTAGGGTGATTCACTGTGCTGGAGGAGTTTTACTCACTTTTAATTCCTATTTGTGATGAACAGCCTGACATTTCAGCCTGTTTCTCTCAGTTCTGTGTTATCTGCAGTGGTCTTTGTCATGTTCTTTGCTGGTCAGGCTGTCAGCATGTTCATCTGAAACTGTAAAATTAATCTAGGTAATTATGAAGATGCTATCTGGAGCTGCAGAGGTAAAACCTTACTGAAGAGCAGTTATTGATTTTTGCCTTTCGCAGTTATCTCTTTTTACTTTTTACCCTCTTTAAAATAAGAGTATTAGTAGAGAATAATAACAACAAAACGCCTGTCAATTTTCCTATTAAATCAAAGTCAGACATCAAAGGAAAAGCAAACTCATAAAGATTTTCTTCTACTCCCTCCTTGTGGATTTCAAATGTTACACTTAAGGCTGGAGTAAAAACCTACACAGGTCACTGAGAAAACCTACAAAACCCACAGAGGTCACTGAGTTCCACCCCCTCAGCAGGGTTTGGGATGCAGATACGAGGATTAGCTTGTCTCTCCTGGGCTGCTGGAATCACAGCAGCTTCCTGGTGCACTTTGTGGGGCTTTGCTGCCCAAACATTTCACATTCTGTGACCTTCCTGCTGGGTGAGATGGGGCTGGCATTGATGCTGTGCTGGTGTCACTTGGGCTGCTCTTGTCACACACCTCTGCCTGCAGTGAAGAAAGGAGCACTGGATTTGGAGCAACCAAACATCAGGAAAATGTCCTTGTGGAGCAGACATTGGCACTGGCAGGGGTTCTCTGCACTGACCTCACATCTGCCACCCCAGCTGCAGAAGGAGCATTGCAGCAGGTCTGGATCACACCTGGAAAAGAGGGAATCTGTGAGAGACATGGAATAAACCCAACCCCAAAGCAAGAGCTGAGATCCCCTGGGCAGGGGAACCCCCCACACCTGGGGGAGATCTGAATGTGTAAATACTTCACTTAAAAGACAGACTTTTCTCATCATACTTTGGGTTTGTTTCAGAAAAATTCTAGTCCTTGATCCCTAATTTATATCCTTTCTGAAATTCCTGTTAAGCATGAGTTAATATGAAGTAGCTCCAGCACTGAGTCGTGCAGTGAGGTTTAAAAATTGCTGTTCCCTTTGCCAGTGTTTCTTCTGAAGTCTGGAGGTGCAGATGAGCAGATGGGTGGGTGTGTGGCAGCACAGGATTTATGCATTATTAGAAACCAATTCTTAATAAAATTGTACTCGTGGATGTCAGAAGAACCTTAAGTGAGTTATTCAGGCTGGTATTAAACTGTCACTGAATGCTCAGTGGACCTGATGTGTTTTACTTCTCCCTTTGAGTACTCAAATGCTTTTATTCTGGTCTTTTTCCGCCCTCACAATGATGACTTTTTAATATTTTTATTCATTTTATGTCCAGCATAAATTAACCTGCCAGGAATATTTTATTAATGTGATTAAACCTAGTAGTGGCACATGATTTCCACTTTTTTACATGGTTCTTGTAAGGAAAATCACCTGATGACTGAAATTGTAGTTTCCACTCAGATATTTATGATACACCCTCAGAATTTTTTTTAAATTACATTTCTATTTATGTGTCCATAAATTGTCACCATGTCTTTCCTTTTAATAATTTTTATACCTCATCTTCTTAGGAGGAGTAAATTGTTCTGTGATGCTCAATTCTGAACTTAAACATAATTTCCGTCTTGTCCATGAAGCCACAAAATTCCTGCTTTGTTTAATTTTAATTATGGATTCCCTTCTCCTTTATAAATACTGTATTTCTGAGGAGAAATCCCAGGGAATTTAGGGGAAATTTTATATTCCCATTGTTCCGTATTTTGAGGATTTGTGTTGTGGGACTGGAATGCCAAGTGCCTATCTGGAAATTGAAGTTAATCTGAAAAAAAACAGAATGTGGAGGGGTTGTTCAAATGATACAACCCAACCTCCCAGCAGGAATTTGGGTGTGAATCCTTGGAGTTCAACTGGCCACACTTTGGGGGAAATCTGGGCATGGAAACCTGCAGAGTTTCCATGTCCCCACCCCACCAACCCCATGAAATACTGCACTGATTGTGCTCTAAGCCTCTGGAAAATCTCCCCAAAAGCCCTGAATGAAGTTGTAAATCCATCCTAACCCGCCCAGCTGAAGTCTAATCTCGATTTTATTCATTTTTATGTGCTTCTGGGAAGGATAAGAGAAGATGAAAGAGGCAATGATATTTTTGAAATAAGTTCTTATAAAGAATTTAGGAAATGATTGTTGAAGCTTTAGGTGAGAAGTGTTTTCTAATTGCATTTCTTCCAAAAAAACAAAATTGCCTTTCTGTAGTTTGTGGAATTTATTGGAGGTGTTTCCAGAGTGACTTCAGTGGACACTGCCTCTAATTTTTCTTACAAATTGCTCCTTAGAGTTATTGATGAAGAGCTCTCTTGATATATTAATTAATTTGGGTTTAGCAAGTTGCAGTTTCAGGTAGTAAGGTGCTAAATCTGTATTATTGACAGCCAGTTTATTTAATGTCATAGTATTTAACTGCTTGCTTTGCTAATCTATTTATCCTGTGCCATTAACCTTTTGTCTTTTTATTTCCTCCTATATTTGGAGCCTGTTTTAGAGCCATTTACTGTGCAAGTTTCTACAGCTCCTCTCCACACTTGTGTTTAAACTCTGATTTTGGAGCCTGTTCTAGAGCTATTTATTGTGAGAGTTCCTACAGCTCCCATCCCCATTTGTGTTGAAATTCTGATTTTAGAGCCTGTTTTAGAGCCATTTACTGTGCAGGTTCCTACAGCTCCCATCCCCATTTTTACTTAAACTCTGATTTTAGAACCATTTATTGTGCAGGTTCCTACAGCTCCTATCCACATTTGTGTTGAAATTCTGATTTTAGAGCTGTTTATTGTGCAAGTTCCTACAGCTCCCATCCCCATTTTTATTTAAACTCTGATTTTAGAACCATTTATTGTGCAGGTTCCCACAGCTCCCATCCCCACTTTAAATTCTGATTTTGGAGCCTGATTTTAGAGCATTTACTGTGCAGGTTCCTACAGCTCCCATCCCATTTGTGTTGAAATTCTGATTTTGGAGCCTGATTTTAGAGCCATTTACTGTGCAGGTTCCTACAGCTCCCATCCCCACTTGTGTTGAAATTCTGGTTTTAGAGCCATTTACTGTGCAGGTTCCTACAGCTCCCATCCCCATTTTTATTCAAACTCTGATTTTAGAGCCATTTACTGTGCAGGTTCCTACAGTTCCCATCCCCACTTGTGTTTAAATTCTGATTTTAGAGCCATTTACTGTGCAGGTTCCTACAGTTCCCATCCCCACTTGTGTTGAAATTCTGATTTTAGAGCCATTTACTGTGCAGGTTCCTACAGCTCCCATCCCCACTTGTGTTGAAATTCTGATTTTAGAGCCATTTACTGTGCAGGTTCCTACAGCTCCCATCCCCACTTGTGTTTAAATTCTGATTTTAGAGCCATTTACTGTGCAGGTTCCTACAGCTCCCATCCCATTTGTGTTCAGTTGTGCTCTGCTGCTGCTGCAGGCAGGGCCTGACCCTGGCCCTGGGTTTTCCCTGGCAGAGGTGAGGTGGCCCAGATGAAGGGCAGCAATTCCTCTTTCCCGGAGCCAGGCACTGACGCTCTGCCCCGTTGGTTTGTCCTGGCCCATGCAGAGCTGGCTGCTCTCAGCTCTTCCTGCAGCAGCAGCAGCAGCAGGATGCAGCAGCAGCAGGCAGGGACGGGCAGCAGGCTGCAGTGGGGAGGCCCAGCAAGGCACGCTGAGACACGAGATTCCTGTGCTGTTCCTGCCCAGCTGATGAACAGGATCCTGCTGGAAAACACCAGGGAGGCCGTGAAACAGGTACTGGGGGAGAGAAAGGGAGATTTTCCCTAAATTCTGGGAGAACCACTGGAGAAAGAGACATAATAACAGGATCAAGTCAGGCAGACCTTCCTGATGCCAGGTTCAGGGCTTTGGAAGAGGTTTTGGATTGACAACCTAAGATTTATCCTTCTCCTTTCTTAGACATCACTGTAGAACTGTTGCTATCAAATAACCACCATAAAATATTCTCTGCTGATAAAATCCTGATTTGTGTGATTGAGAAGGCTGGGGTCATCATTTATTTTATAAAAAGCCCTGGATCAGCTGAAGGAGAAAGCATCTTTCTCTGATTATGTTTGTCCCAATTATTTATCAAATTATTCTGCATATAACTTGTTGTGAAGTCTTTGTGACTCCAGGATTTGAAGAATTCCAAAGACAAAACCTCCCTGTGCTCCCAGCTTTCTTAGGTATTGGATAATATTGATAAAAGCAGTTCCAATAAAATCTTGCTGACCTCAGTCCCTGCTTAAGAAGTCTCTGTATCATCTTTAGCTAATTCAAATTTCTTTTTTTTTGTCACCAGCCCAGTGGGTTTTTCCCATCACAGGATGGGTTTTATGCCCCAGCTCCTCCCCTCATCCCTGCACCTAAAAATAACACTTAAAAGTCAGTTCTGGTGTGATAATTATTTCAGGCTTCCTTGTCTTTTAAAACAATTTTGACATTTCAGCCATCTGCTTTTTAGATTTCTATTAATGCTAACCCACCTTGCAAATTAATGGAATTTTTTATTTGCTTTTTACTTGTCTTACATTGTGGGATACATTCCCTGAGAAAAGTAGTTTCATCTGCTCTTCTGCTTGGTTCTGTCTGTAGCTCCACACAACAACATTTTATCCAGAAAAGTCAGGGAAAAGGGGACAGAGAGGTCTGTGATGGGACTGCCTTAGGTTGATTCCCCTGCTTTTGTAGCAATTTAATGTGTTTATGGAGCCAGAAGGAATCTGAGTCAATTAGATCAGATAAAACCATTGATATTTCATAAAAGCACCAGCCCTGGGATTTGTGTAATGCTGTTAAATAAGCTTTAAGATTTCATGGTGGATAAACTGACCTAGGAATCACTGAATAGCACTGATTCTCTTACAGACAGAACTGCAGAGTCTGGGTTGGATTCTGGCTCAGAGCTGCATGTTTGAACTAATGGCTCCAGAGTTTATTTGCATCTTAATTTATTTATAAAATGTGTATATATATAATTTGTAATCATAATTCCTCTGGCTGCTGCTTAAGGCCTTACACACAGTCAGCATAGGAATAGTTATAGACGATGGAATTATGACTCAGAATTATTTTACCACTGCCTAAAAAGCCAATTTTTGTCTTTAGACAGTAGCTCTGTGTATTTTTATTAATTGTTCTCAAAGTTGCCAGGCCAGACATTGCTCATGGCATCAACGTTTCCTCTTGCAGGTGACAGAAGCTGAAATCCATGAGACTTCAACCTGTCCTGACTGCCTGCAGAAGGAAGCAGAGCTGGCCAAGGTTGCCTTTCTCAGGCGAAAAAAGACTCTGCTGGAAGGTGCTTTAATCCAAGAGAAATTGGAAGAAAAGTTTTACTCCAGGGTAAGCAAATATTGTTGAAAAAAAAAAAAATTATGCTACATTTTATAGGTGCTGTAATGAAAGAATCTGTAATTCAGATTCTCCCTGATTATATGGCAGTGAGATCAGTGCAAACCAAAATAGAATTTGGGTCCATTTCATGAATAAAATGCTTGGGACCAATGTTCTCCTTAAGTCATTTGAGGAGATTTATGCCTGATTTATGGAAGCTGAAGGTCATTGCCAGGAAGTCCTGGAATTTGGGTCTCTTTTGATTATTTCTCCCCAGTTTGTTTTCTGCTGGGCTGTCCAAGCTGAAATGGCAAATTAAATGATGTGATAGGAGGGAACTGCCCATACTGGGCTTCTTTGCTCATCCTTGGCCATGGGAGTCTTGGAATGTGCAAGGATTCCACACCTGCAACATGTGATGGAGGCTGAGGCCTTGGGATACTCTGAGATTGCTTCTTGGAATTCCTGTCTCTGTGCCAGTGTCCCACAGATGGAAGCTTTGTTGGCAGGAAGTGCCTCTGGAGCAGCTGGGGGAGCAGTGAAATGTGCAGAATTCCTTGGGTCTCCTGTGGCTGTTCTTCAGGAGGGTTTTCCTGGAGGAAGAGCTCTTCTCTCCCTCCTTGGGAGGGGGCAGGAGCCTTCCTGCAGCTCCCAGCTCTCTTCCCCTGTTGATGAGCAGGCTGGAAGTTTGTGCTGTACCACACATTCCTTTCTTTCCTAATAATTCCAGTCTCCAGAATTTTGTCTATTCCTCACACCATAGCTCAGATTGGAGAGCTTCAGTCTCAGGTGAGGCTTCACTTTTTCCCACTTTCCCCCCTGCTTCCCTGAAAGGCCAGCTGCTTTTCCCTTCCTCATTAGGGAAGAATCCTGCTTTTTGGGCCATGCTGCTGGACAGAGTTTTTAAACAGAATCCTTTCAAACCCACCAAATTGTGGGTTGTGGAGTTGGAGGAGTGCTGCCCACCTGGCTGGGCTTGAGTGACTGGGTGTGTGCTCCAGGCCATGAGAAATGGCAGGAACACAATCCTGAATCATTCCATGTTTCCTTTCTGTTTCAGGACATGCTCACACTTCTAGGAGAAGCACTCAGAAACTTTCCCAAACCTTCAGAGGATCCCAGGGATTTGTGGCAAAGGCTGAAGGGTCAAGAGTGGAAAGACTGAATGAACCATAACTCCAGTGGGTGAAGAACTGGGAGAGCCTCCTGTGGGCAGTCAGCTCCAGAATTCCAATGGGTTTGGACCTGAGCTGCTCTGGCAGTGATGGATTGGGTGCTGCTTTAATATTCCTGCAGGTGGAACCAGATCTACCTGGCTGGGGTGTGAGTCAACCCTTCCTCCTTCCTCAATGCAAATGTTGCAATATATTGCAATCCATCTCCATAGGTTTTTTTTTTTTTTTAAGCCAACATTTTTTTTTTTTTTTTTTGCCAGCCAGAAGTATTGGGTTTTTTTTTTTTTTGTTTGTTTGTTTTTTTTTTTTTTTTTTNTTTTTTTTTTTTTTTTTTTTTTTTTTTTTTTTTTTTGTGGGATTGCTGTGGGATTGCAGAGCAGCTGCTTCCATCCATAAGGAAAATAAATTATTCCGTTTGCCAGGGCAGGGAGGTGTAATTACTGCATTTCAGCTCAGGCTTTGCCTCATGGTAAATTGAAAGTGAGAGCCCCAGGTGGACAAAAAGCAAAGTTGACTATAAAAAGCAGTAGAATGAAAATGCAATATTTATAGAAGGGAAATAATGAGTTTGTAACTGAAATTAATCAGCAGGACTGGGGATGCCAATGGGATGAGAAATGATAATAAATGAATCATGGAATCTATATAGGATAGAGAGAAAAAAAGCAACAGATTAAAACTGGGATAAGAATTGCAAGAAAATACTTTGGAAATTGTTGTAATTTTTCAAGATGATGAAATCATCGTTGTTCAAAGATTGGATCTGGGGTTCAGTACACATCCAAAAAAATGGAATTATGCTGAGAATCATTGGGTTAGACAATGAAATCATCCTCAGTGTGGCCTCCAAAGCCTGGTGCTGCTTTGTGGTCAAGGCTGGCAGCAGGGGCTCAGCCCCTTGCTCCAGCCATGGCCTGACTCTCCTCAGCCTCCCATTTCCTGATTTCTCTGCATTCCCATCTCTGTGGAAATCTTGGAGGGCTATCCCTATCTATGAACCCACACTGTATTTTTGTGCCAAAGCAGAGAGAATTAAATCCCCCTGTTGCATTTTCTTCCCCCTTTTTGGGACAAGAGCCCTCACTGCTGAAGTGGGCTTAGTATTCCATGGGGTTGTTTCCCCTCCTCGAGCTCTGTGTTGTTTATCAGAGTCCTTGAGGGCTGTTTAGCCTCTTGTTTTCACTTCCCACAAACCAATGGAAAACCTGGTGGGAAATGCTGGGATATAAACAGAAGTGTTAGCAAAGTTCTGCCTTCTGCTGCCTAAAAATCTGCCCTGAGTGATTTCCCTGGGAGTGGATCCTGAGCAGGTCAAGCACCAAGTGGGAGCCCAGCCCAGCCCTGAGCTACTCAGTGCTGCTTGTCCTTGCAAACGGCTTTAATTGTCCATCAAAAACATTCCTCCAAAAGCATCCCCTTTTGAATTGTCCCTGCAGAGCACCTGGGTGATGAATAAACTCTGCTTGTTCCTTCCTGTTGCTCTGGAATCCTTAGAAATGTTTAAATCCCTTAAATCTCCTGCTTTCCAGTCTCTTCATGGATGCCCCACCTCTGTTCCTTACTTGTTTTGGTCTGCACACCGTGGTTCTCTGAGCCTTTGGAAGTCTGCAAACACTGGGAAAGGCACCCAGGATTTCAGGTGGAGCCTTGAAGGGCTGCCAGGTGTACAGGAGGTGATCAGGAACTGAATCCTATGAAAATGTCATTTTGTGGCACAGATTTCAGCCCTTGCAGACCCACAAAAAGTGACTTCCATGCACATGTTGATATTTCTGTTTTCAGAACACAGAAGCTTTCTAGAGCTACTGAAATTTCTTTGCAGCTGCTGTCAAGCCTTTCTGTAAATCCTGAACTCTTGAGTTATTTGGGTTATGTGTCTGACAGTATTTGTCTGTGCAGCAGCAGCCTGCTCACACACAGTGCCTGCACAGCTCTTGTTTGCATAAATGTTACAAACAGAACTCAGGTAACTCCTCTGGAAAATCAAAGTAGATTTTGCTGATGGCTGTTGGATGCATTTTCCTGCTGCTCACTACAGTTGTTTCATTCTTTTATCAGCAATGACTCTGAGAGCTGAGCGTTTTCTTTAGCAGCTCTTAGAGATATTCAATGGAATGAATGATCCGAGCCCCTAAATAATTTATTTTCTAATCCTGCACTTTTTGAGGCTGGAGATCCAAAACTCTGCCAGGGAGGGTGTGGGAAAGAAGGTGGATGATATGTCTTCCTTTTTCCCCTTCTAGGAGCTCCTCCCTCCAGCAGCAGATTTTTCTGTTGATCTGAAGAAACCTCAAAACTCTGGTCAAGGAATATTGACTCATCTGCTGCCTGGTTTGTGCTTGCTGGGGCATGAAAGGAGCAGGGTGGCTCAAGAGGGATTCCTTGGGAAAAGCAGCTGTGGCTGTGAAACAAATCAATCTGCCTCTTCAAAGTGCTCTGCAGCTTTGCCTTTGTGGCTCTCGTGCCACCCAGAGTTGGATGATTTAATCTTCTGGATGATTGCTGATGTGGTGGGGTTCATTGCTCTGTGCTAACAGAGAAGGTTTCTCCCATCTCAGCTGTTTCATGCTCTGTGTATGCTGATATCCACTTCTGGGGGGTTGGATTTTAGAACTGACCCTTTGGAGAAACTTATATTCCTCACATTTTCATTAAAATCAGCTTCCATGAGCTGCAGCACTGTGACTTTCCCTTCCACTTGCTCCAGCTTTATAAAAAACCACCCTGCACTCCTGGCTCCCTCATTCCTTGTCTCCTTCCCAGCCATCTCTTCAGCTCTGGGAGTTTGTATCTCTAGGAAAAACTTCCATCTCAGTCCCAGCAGGCTGCTAGCCCAGCTCTGAGTGGGAATGAAGTTTCAGTGTCATTAACTCCCTGGATATGAGCTGGCAACAAAGCTGAGCATCCACAAATTACCTCTTCTGGTGGAAGGTGGCCCTGCCCATGGCAAGGGTGGCACTGGATGAGCTTTAAGGTCTCTTCCAACCCAAACCATTCCACAATTCTGGGATATTTGAATTTGGATTTCCAGCTACTGAGGAAAACCTTTGTGGTCTCACTGGTCCAGTGTAGGATCACAGAAGAATTTGAGTTGGAACAGACCTTCCAAAGGCCACCTAACCCCCCCTGCCTTGGCAGGGACACCTGGCACTATTCCAGGGTGATCCAACCTGGCCTTGGGCACTTTCAGGGATCCAGGGGAAGCCACAGCTTCTCTGGGAATTCTATTCCAGGGCCTGCCCACCCTCAGTGTAAAATCCTTCTTGTACCTGGTCTAAACCAACCCTCCAGCAGGTAAAGCCATTCTCCCTTGTCCTGAGGACACAAGGCCTGCTGAGAGCTGTGCCCCATCCTTCCTGCAGGCCCCCTTCAGGTACAGGAATGTTTCCCTGGAGCCTTCCCTTCTCCAGCTGAACGCTCCCAGTGCTCAGGTTCTCCTCAGGGGAGAGGGGCTCCAGCCCTCAGAGCACCTTTGTGGCCTCCTTCCATTAATCCTGAGCCTTTTCTCTGAAGTCACAGAAAAATCTGAAATGCTCCAAGCCCCTCAGTGCCTCCTCAGAAATTCCCCTCATGGGGTTGGCTTGGGGTGTGGGGAGACTTGGGTATTTTTTTAGTTCTGTTTTTTACCACAGCCAGTTTGGTGAGGTTCCAAGAAAAGGAGCTGAACTGATTTCTTCCTGTTATGTGTAGTAGATATAATTCGTGCCATTTCTAATATGATATGTGTGATATTGAATATTTTTTGGAATATACACGTTTGTATTAGGACTCCCCCCACCCTCGCAGGCGAAACCTGGTGTATGTTGAAACCCGATTTACAATTAAAAAATGTGGCTTGGCCAGGAGATGGGGATGGGCCATGGCTGGAGAGATACAGGATGGACCCCAGGCACTGATCTCATGGAAATCCTCGGGCAGATCCATGGGAATACAGCGTTCCCATAAATTTCATCAAGAGATTCACCAACTCCTGACACTGAATTGTTCTTCAGCACCACAAAAGAAAATCTTATTAACCTATGGACTCTGAATGGAAGAAAAGACTGACTGCCGAAATCTTGGCCTCAGGCGGAATTTTCCCTATAAAAACCTTGTGCCAGGCTGGAGGTGTGTGGGCACAGAGGAAAACCTCTGCTGAGGTGACTCCTTGTTGCACACCCAGGGCCGACCCCGGGCTCGGCTCTGTCCTTTCCTTGCGGCTGGCTAGATAGAATTTGATTGCAAAATAAATATTTTAATTTTTTCTCATATTAATTTGGCTGGACAAATTTTCATTTATAACACTTCCTCTTGGGAACTTGACAGAAGTTTTCAGCTGGTGGCACCGAGGACGAGGTGTGGAGCTGCCCCTGCAGCCAGCTCTCAGCAAAGCCCTGAGCTGAGTGCAGTCCCCCCAAACCATCCACACATCCTCCAGCAAGAGCTGCAGTGCTGCTCTGCATCCCTCAAGCATTTTCCAATCTCCTCGCATTCCTCAAGCTGTGATTTTATTACCACTGGATGCGGATTTTCAGGGAGTGATTTTGGATTGTGCCTCTGAGGGACACCCCTGGGTGTGTGCAGCTCAGCCCTGCCTGCCCCGGGGCTGCTTTCCTGACTGCTCTGCCTTTAAATGGTGCCAAAACAGGTATTAATCCTATCAACACCATATTTGCACTGTTTTCATGCAACTATTTGTCCTTTTTTTTTCCTCCACAACTGATTTTGAAGATCTTTGGCAGCTCTGACAACACCAGGGTGTGGATGGGAGATGAGGGGGAGTGGATTCCTTCTGTCAGGGTCCCCCATCTTCCAGATTACCCAAATACTTGATCAGGGTACTTAAAAAAAACCCAAACATTTTCCAGCTTCTGGGCATGGATATTCACTGCTTATTTATTCATTTATTTATTCTGTAATAAAATAGTACTGCTTTCACAGACTAGGCTGTATGATCCATAAATACCCTTGTAAAATAAATTTGTAGCACGTAACAGAATCCTTTAGAATATTCTGTGAAAATTCTTTTTTCGTTGTTGTTGTTGATAGCACTTTCAGAACATTTACATCCTTCATCCTGACATTTTGAAATAGAACATTTTTTTTCCTACAGAGGTAAGTTTACAGCATCATCACAGTATTATAGCTTGTTTAAAAATACATACAGCAGTACTGGTAATTGCAAGCAAGCTGTAGACTTGAGCAGGGGGCTGGTGGCAACTTCACATAGTTTTTACTTTATAAAACAATGACATTTATTAATATTACATCCATCACTTGGTTAGAAAAGATGACTTAGATGTGCTACTCACAAGAAATCTGTCATTTCTCTGTGACATCACAGGCCAGGCTATGGAAATAGAAACACTCATTGGTATGGGTGGTTTAAAAAGGGTTTGATGCCTAATTTAAAAAAGGAGTTTATGCTGTCTCTTCCCTTAGGAATTTGAGTTCCACTGACACTGGATGTCCTTAATCCGCTCGTGGGAATGGCAGGAGCAGCTCTCAGCACAACCCTGGTGTGGAGGCAGCACTGAGATGTCACTGAAGTGTGGCTCAGGAGCAGCTGGGACCCGCTCACTGCAGCCCCTGCAGCCCTGCTTTGGACAGCTGAGCTGCTCTGGGACACCCCAAATCTGCCTCTTCACCTTCCAGCGGGGCTGGGAAAGAGTGAAAGCAGCAGGTTGAAATGTACTGGTTCAGTAACACACTGAAAATTGGGGGTAGGGTTGGAATGGAGCTAAAAACTCCCCCCATTCCAGCCCTGCCATGGCAGGGACACCTCCCAGTGTCCAGCCTGGCCTTGGGCACTGCCAGGGATCCAGGGGCAGCCCCAGCTGCTCTGGGAATCTGTGCCAGGGCCTGCCCACCCTCACTGGCACTGCCACAGTTTGCCCAGCGAGGATTAAAATGACAGAAGAGATTAAAAATACATAATTGCATTGGTTTTACTTTGCACAAATGAGACTAAATGTATAAATATATATATATATATATATGTATAATAAAGCGGTAGGAAATCTCCAAACTGCTAACAACTCTTAGAAATGAGATAAAACAAGGCTGTATCTGCTTGGAAATTTCAAATTTGCAGTTCTCTCATGATTTTCAGGTAATTCAAGAGTACTTCATGGTGGATCCTGGATTTCTCTTTTTATGAAACAAGTCCAGGTGTGCTTTGGCAAACGCTCTTTTCTTGGTCTCTCTGATACTCCTCTTGTGCTTTCTGCAGTCTTTTCCCTCTGAGTTTCCACTTGTGGAAGCAGTAGGTGATGAGGGATGTCATCACCAGGGAGAAGAGGATGACCAGCACGACGATGAGGGCGATGGTGGACGAGAGGGACCCCTCCAGCTGCTCGCTCTCCGTGTCCCTGGTGGAGTTCACATCAGCAAAGTTCTCATAATCTGCTGAGGCCAAAAGTGCAGCTCCAGGAGCCTCCCTCAGCTTGGGCCTCATTGGGACTGGGGAGGTGTTCTCAGGATTCCTGGAGAAGCAGATCTAGGGCTGCCCTGTCAGCATCCAGGAGCCAGCTCTGCCTCGGGTGCTGCAGGCATGGGCAGGCTCAGCAGTGGGTTTGGAGGCAGGGAGAGCAGGAACTGCAGCCTGTGGCACAAGTCTCCAGCACAGGGCAGCTTCTTCCCAGGAGCTGAGCTCAGCAATGTGCTGCCTTCTTCATCAAGGGGCAGGGAAGGCTCAGCCAGCTGCCACTTTGGGATTGCTTGTTTTCTGCAAGAGATAAGTGGAGAAAATACCATCAGTTTTCCAGTGGTGGCAGAGCTTGTCCTGGGGCTGAAAGCAAAATAAGTGCTGCAACAAGTGTGACTTTCTATCACAGCAATTGTTTCAGTGAGAGATTTTTTTCCTTTCCCAAAATGTGAGAATCCAGGGCTTCCCTCTGGCAGGTCTGGGACCCTAGCAGGGGTCAGGAACCCCCCTGGACAGAGCCCCCAGAGACACTGGCTGTGATCTCTGTCCATGGAAAAGAGTTTTCAATCTTACAGGATGAATTACCAGCTCTGAGTGTTTGATATAAGTAATAATTAAGTGTGCCATGGGTGCAAAAGTAAAATTTTAGGATTCTAGATGAGGGGTCCAAAGGGGACAAGATGGAGGAAATTGGGTGTGCCTTGTCCTTTTTCTCCTTCTTCATACCCTCCATGTCTCACTGTGGTGTTGGCATTTTTCTGTTGGTTCAGGCTGGGGACACACTGTCCAACGTAGGTGACAGATATTGGCACGTTATTGTAAATCCAGCCCAGGGAGTTTCTGGTATTTAATGTTTGTCACATCCCACTGAGGGCAGAGCCCCACACGCTGCCCTGCAGGACAGAGCTGGGCAGGGCAGCAGAACATGTGAGAGATAAACAGAATAAACAACCTGGAAACCAGCACAGACCAATTATGGCTTCTGCTTTGGCAGGGGGCTGACAGACAGAGACTTTCTACAATCTCAGAATCATCAATACCACGGATTCTGACACCAAAATATTCCCAGAAGAGAAGAAAATCAAAGGCCTGTTTTGTACCTTACCCACAGTAACAAAATCAGCTGCAAACTGATTTTGTGAGAACTCTGGGAATTCTCACATTAATGAAGGGGTTTAACTTCCCCGCTTCTGTATATCTGCTCTTGGACTGGGTTTGAATTTGGGGTTTTAATCCTCTGGAGTTTTAGTTATAGTGGGATTGAGGTTTCCTGACTGATGGCAAATCTGGGATCTGCAGAATGGTCCTGGGTGAAAAACCACTCCAGATTAGTGGAGAGGTGAGAGGTGAGCTCCCCTGCAGGCACTGAGCTGTAAACTGCAATTTGACCCCCCACCCTTCCACAGTTCTGATGGAATTTCAGACTTTTAAGTCATTTGCCTTTGATATGAGCTGTGTGTGACAAATCCTGAAAAATTCACTCATCTGAGCAGTTCTGAAACCTAAAGCTGCTCTGCCCTCCCCATTCCCTCCCTGATCCAAATCCCATTTTGGAGTTAAACCTGAGGAACAAGGCTGCTCTGCTCTGGATCCCTGCTTCCAATGGGGACAGGAGGATTTGCCTCGGGATATTTTCCTCTGAGGAGCTGTAAGCAGTTCAGGGCTATTTATTTCAAACAGCTTGCTCCAATCCCCCTCCACCCTCCTCCCAAATGCTTGGAGGCCAAATTTAGGTTTCAGAGATCTTGGAGCATCATTGTTTGCAGATGCTGTGTTTGATAGGATGCACTTCATCCTCTTAATAGAAATAAAGTTCATCCCACTCAGGCTCACAGAGAACTGAGGGTCTCTTTTCCTAATTACCAGCACCTTCTGATTAGTAATAAGCGCTGTTTATACAGCTCAGCATTCTGTTGGTGCTAAAAGACGTAAATAACATTTCCTGCCAGTTTGGAACAATATGTTCACGGAGTCAGAGAGGAATGGGGATTTTGAAGGAAGTTTAGAACTCGGGTTCTGCTGAGGGAGAGCTGATGGAAAGCTCATTTCACATAAGGGACCGAGTGCACTGTGGCCCGTCTGTGATGAATGCCTACAAGTGGCACTGCTGGCAGGCCATGCGTCAGGAGGGGTGACAACAGAATATTTCAGTGTTCAACATCTCTCCCAAGTAGCCTGAAGAAAGCAACAGCAATAAAAGCACTTGAGAAGCTGAGAAATGCCCCTGTGATTTATGGAGCAGCCAAGTGCCCACCTCCCCCTGGAAGTCCAGGAGGGGAAAGTCTCAGCAGGGGGAAATCTGGATTGTCACACTTGCCTCAAGCTGGATCTCACCTCATCCGTGCCCACAGCCCTCGGGTTCCTGGGGAGGAGAAAACAAAACCAGAAGTCCTGATGCAGCTGGCCCTGTGCTGCTCCAGAGGGGGCAGGGGGGCTGCTTGTGACTGCCCCAAACTAGGAAAACTCTTAAAATCCCAAATCTGCAACGCTCTGCTTGGGCTCCGGCTGCATTTTGGGGAAGGAAAGTGCTTTTCTGGGCAAATCCCTTCTGAACAGCCTCTGAGGGGTCACTGGTGGCTGTGGTGGGACTGCAGTGAGTGTGATCAAACCTGTGGTGACAGCAGTGTCAGCTCTGCTCCCATGGGTGACAGTAGTGTCACCCCTGCTCCTGTGGGTCACAGCAGTGCCACCCCTGCTGCCTGAGGGCCAGGAATGCTCCTTGCTGCTGCTCAGGGATGGACTTGGGGGAGCAGATTGGAGAGCAAAGGGTGGGAGACACCCCAAAAAGTGCCAAGGGAGAAGGTCCTTCCTTGGTGGCACCAGGGTGACGGAGCTGCTGCAGCTGGCAGGGACAGGCAGGGCAGCAGAGCTGCTCTGCCCCTCGCCAGGCTGCAGGGACACAGGGACAGGGTACAGGGCACAGGGACAGGGCACAGGGCACAGGACACAGGGCACAGGGCACAGGACACAGGACACAGGGCACAGGGACAGGGCACAGGGCACAGGACACAGGGAGGCTCAGCTCACATCCCAGCACTGGAATCTCACTGGCAGCACATCCTCAGCAGGCACTTCCCGTTAAAATCCCCCAAATCTCTTCCTCTTCCATGTCGCTGTCGAGGCAGGATGGGAATGAGAAGACTTAGATTATAAGGCTGCTGAGAGTAAAACTCCAATTTATTCAAAATACACTGCTCTTTTATACAGAGCTTTGTGAGGGCCAACTCCATTGGTTCTGAAGTGAAAACAACGCAATGCATTGGTGTACAGTGCTTGACGCACAGTGATAGAATTTAACTATAAACAATGTGAAAAACAAGAGACAGAGAATTATTTACATTCTTTCCCAGCTCTTTCCCAGGCTTTTTGCCCGGCTAGAAACTCTCAGTTTCTTTCTCTGACTGAATCTGAGTCCCACACTTCCAGGCTTTAGCTGAATCCCAGCAGCAGAGAATAAATAAAGCTGAGATTGTTTGCTTGGGTTTTGTGAGTCATAAGCCTTCAGTGGCTCTGGCCTGAGCCCTGCAAACATTGCACTCAGGAGCTCAGTGCCGGGCACATTTCATTCCCATGCAAGTATATTAGAAAGATTTAAGTATTGACAAAAAGAATGTGATTTTTTTTTAAATCTGGAAATTTGTTAGAATAAACATCTTGTGCAAGCACATTAGAATAGCTGGAAGTTGAATTAATTTTTAAAGCTTTTAATGAAATAATAATGTTTTACTCTGGGACTTATACAAGCTCAGACTCTTGGTGTAGCATGTCCTTGCCTTGGGATGGACTTTCCTACCCTGGCTCATGTTCCCTTGTGTTTTTTAGCAAGTGATAAAGTAAACTACAACTCAGTACAATGTGGGAAAGACAAAATCTGCTCCTTGATTTGTAATATTCTTAGGACAGGCATGGTCTTCCCTTTGTTCTCCAAGTTTGACCTTTGAGAACCTCAGCAAGAAATAGATTTTTGAGGGTTTTGTTTGTTTTTGAGAGTGGAAAGTAAGAGAGGGTTGGAAGTGATTTGTATGAGAGGAACAAAGGAAATGACAGTAAAAAACCCCAGTATCTCATGATGAATTCAGGTTATTGGCATCTGTCAAATACTGAATTACTGAAAAGAGATAAGAATGTTCATCAGCAGCTTTTTGATTTCCCTGGGAGTCCTCCCTTTTATTAGGGCAAACCTTGCCTCTGGTTGCCAGACGTGGTAATAATGATGTTATCAGTGTTACAGTCAAGACAGAAATGCCAATTTGCATTGTGTTCCTAAAAATAAATAAATAAAATAATCAAAATGCTGTGTGGAAGAGCAGATTTAAGTTTTATTGGATATGGTTTGGGGCTTTTATATAGTTGGAGAAGTCTGGTTTTTACTTCAGTCTGAGAGGCTGAGTTCAGTCAATGTCTGGAATGTTCAGGTTTCTTGGAAGGATGAAGGGCAGGAATCCCAGGTGAGCTGCTGCAGCTCCAAAGGGAAGCTGCTGGCACTTCCCTGACCCTGGGGATAACTCACACCTCCTGATGGCTGAGCAGGACATCAAACCAAGCAGTGAGGAAAAGGAGCAGCCCTGCTCTCAAAGGAACACAAAAGCAGCTTTTAAAGGAAAGGTGACTGCCCTGAAACTACAAACCCTCCTTAGGAGCTGAGAGAAAAAATCTCTTTGACAGCAGGAGAGCCTTGGATTCTGTCTTGTGTCTCATCTCCTCACCCTCCACTCACCACGCTCTTCCCACTGTTGAATTGCTCCCATAGTCATGTAACCCTAAATATATATTGATTTTTAACAAAGTTTCAGGCTTGCTTTTTTTCCCTTTTGCCTTCAGCTTTCTTGTAAATCTCCCCTGCTGCCTCTCAAATTGCCTCTTCCATTTTAATTGCATTAGGGAAGGATGCAGCTCCTCTCTCTCCATTTGCATCTTTTTGATGTGAAAACATTGGGATGAAAGGTGTCCCTCACGCTTAAACCTGGCGTGGAAAGGGTTCTTTCTCCTCCTCCCCCTGAGCTGGGGAGCAGAGGAGACATCAACTCCAGCACTTGTGCTCAGATAAAAGGGAGTGGGAGCAGTGGAAGAGGAAAAGGAGGAAGAAGGGATGGGAGAAGGCAGAAAATGCTTGGAAAAACACAGCAAGATGTTTTAGCCTTGCTGCATCTTCTATAAACTCATAGCAACAGAAGGCCAGGCTTTGAGAGTATTTAAAATAGGCCCATAAATTTATATGTATTTAATTATGGATGCTTAAAATTCTTTGGGAAATCTGCAGGTTCCAAGTCTCCAAAGTGCTGCTCAGTTTAATTCCTGGGGTTCTGTGTCCTTTGGGGTGTGTGCTGCCCCCATGCACTGTATTTGTAGTGTCACCAGGTTTGTGGGTGCTCAACACCACACATTTCCCTGCAAAGTCCTCACATTAAATCTCTTTCTTCTGTTTTGTTAACCTCCAAAGAGGAAACATGATCTGTATTCGATTTTTCCACGTGGTCACCCCAAGGAAGGACACTTGCATAAACCCCTTGTGCTTCCACCCAGTGCCAGAACTGGCACCTTAGGGAAAGGTTGGAGCAGGCTAATTAATCTTTTAATTAAATGTACAAAACTCCAGCCCTGCTTTTATCCCAGTCAACAAGAGATCTCTGCTCTTCATTGTTCTCCAGCATGTTCTGACCTTGTTGTTCCTGAAGAAGAGAAAAAGGCTGGGAGTTTTGGGATTGTTCATTCCAACCCTGGCCAGATCCACGAGCCAGGGGAGAGCTGTGTTCCTACAAAAGGATCAAAACCTGGGATCCTGATTCTGCCTGGGCTTGGAGAACTCAGTGTACAACAAAACCAGGTCATTTCAGGGCTGAACCTGATCCCATCTTCCCTCTTCTTGGAGGATCCCAAGCAGAACAATCCCATGGACATTTTTGGGATCCAGAGGGGCTGCTGTGGGCAGGGGCTGTGCTCAGCAGGGCCATAAATGCAAGGTGCAGCTTTCCTGGGTGTTTGTTTGACAGAGAACCCACGAGAGGCTAATTCTGGTTTTCATTTTAGTCGAGTAATCCTTGAAGAGTAGATTAATTAAAGCCACAGGTGCATCTGGCTTTAGGCTCTCTTTGAAGCTGATTTTCACCCCACTGATTTTCTTGGTGACCTCTGATAGTTTAATGTGTTAATTTAGCCTAAGTGTGATTTGATAAGCAGCAGCAGCTTTGAGGGTGTGATCACAGCCTCCTCGTCACTGCCTGGCTTGGCAAATCTCAGCTTTGCTCTGTGCAAAGTCCAAATCCCTGTGGAATGGTTCCTGTTCCCAGGAGCAAACTGCACCTCAGCCATGGACACACTGAACACTTGATGGATTCCCCCCCTAAAGCAGCCACTGCAAGGCACCTGGACAGATATTGTAACCTTCTTGTCCAGGAAATGTGAGGAAAGTTTATTTTCCTGGGCATTGGAATGCTCAGATGCCATTTTTAGGGTGGCTTTAAATCATGAAATGCTCCCCAGAGGTGTGAGGACTGAGCTGGCAAAAACATGTGAGGAGGAGACATTGGGGTTTATTATTTTCACAGGAATATTATTATTATTATTACTATTATTATTATTATTATTATTATTATTATTATTATTATTATCTAGAAAAGGGTCTGGTTTTTTTCCCTTTTAAGCTTGGAGAACAGTGCTGTATCCAGGGGTTCTCTGAGCATGTTCTTTCTTTCCAGGTGTTCCCTTCCAAAGAGACTTCACTGCCTTTTAAAAGCTCTGTGGAGGTTGTTTTTCTCCAAGCAGCACCACGATTCCTGCTTTTGGAAGGTGGATTTTCCTGCTCAGCCATTCCTGCCACAGGAGCTTCCATCACCAGCCCAAGAGTGCATCCTGCAAAATGGGGATTCTTTGTCCCTTTGAAATGAAATTTTGTGCTTCACTCACTGCTGATTCGGTTCAGACTCATTTTTTATGCTGCTCTTCCCCTCCAAAGTCAGGGGCACTTCCATCCTGTGATTGCAGAGGCAGCCTGGGAATTTCCCCTTGGTCCATAATTTCAGATGTTATTCTGTGCAAACACAAGCCCTGCAGTGAGCAGTCCCCAAACCTGCATTGAGCTTAAATTGCTCAGTGGTGGTTTTTTTCCCCATTTGCTGTTTTCAGGCTCTGTTTGCCCCAAACTTACAGGATTTTGGAGCCAGGACAAGCAGTTCAGGCAGAGGTGGATGATTAATTGCTGAGTTAGAAGGGAGGTGGAAACTGAAAGCTGTTTAGAGCTGAACTCAAATGAAAACCCCAAACCTAAGAACCTTCATAAAACACAACCCTAAGCCAATCAATGGCCCTTTTGTTCAATTCTCATTTTGTGTGCAGGTGAAGGAGGGATTTAATTCCAGCCTAATTGTGAAGGGATGAACAAATCAGATCTGGTTTTGTGTCCCCCTCCCTATTTAATCTCTCCTTTCCCATTTTCTCCTGCCCTACCAGGAGCAGGGGAATCTATTACAGCTGGGACACTGCAGCCTTTCTCTTGGATCTCAAATCGGACTGAAACTCCTGCAGGGATAGATTTCTTGTTAAAAATATTGCAAAAGACCAAGAGATTTGCTTGGTTTGAACATTCCAGTTTTCATCCATCTCCTTTCAAAAGAAAACGCTCCTGCTCTTGATGGACAGGCCCAGTCTAGGACAGCAATAAATTCACTGCTCAGGGAATTTCACCTTTAAATTGTGCAGGAAAAGAAGAAGTTAAAGGGTGGGAGGGAGCAGGGGCTGGGAGGGGGAGTGATGAGTGTCAGTTTAGAGGCAGCTACTTTGTCTGTACATTTCTGGAATAAAACCACATTTCTTTTCCCACTGCGCAGACTGGGAATAGTTTCTGTGGGATCTGGGAGCCGCAGGGGAGCAGGAGCATCCTTCCCTGCTCTCCCCAGCTGCAGCCCGGGGAGCTGAGCTGCTGGGCACGAACTGGTCCCAGCGCCGAGGCTGAAGGAGGCACGGAGGGAATAAAGACCGGGAGCGTTCCGTGCTCCAGCACCGCCCTTCCTTTGAGCTCCCAACCCCATTCCAGACGGGAACAGCCGTGTGGGTTTGGGACATGGCCACGGCAGCACTGCCGGGGCTGGGAGGGCTCGGGCACCCCCAGGGGCTCAGCTCGGGGTGCGGGAGGGAGGGATGGGGGGGCTCAGGGATCCCTGAGCAGGGATGGAGAGCAGGGCCAGGTGTGCCCAGGGGTGCCTGCTACTCTGGGAACCGGGGTGCCGCTCTCGGGGAAGCTCTGGCACCCACGCCGGAGGGGCACACCGGGCACACCTGGGCCGGAGCGGGAGCCCCGTGGGGACCGCGAGTGGCCTCGGGTCGGGCCGGGGGCAGCGGGGCGGGCAGGGCAGCCCTGGAGCCTGCCAGGGACCGTGCCAGTGATACACGGTGCTGCCGTGCCGTGCCAGCTGCGCACCCGTGCCGTGCCGTGCCAGCCTGCGCACCGCTCCCACGCTGCCTGGCGCGGTGCCGTGCCAGCCTCAGAGCCCAGGCATCACCGTGCCGTGCCAGCCGGAGCGCTGGTGCCGTGCCAGCCTCGCACGCAGGTATCTCAGCGCCGTGCCCAGTGCCGCGCCGTGCCGTGCCATTCAGCCTGCACACCGGTCCCGCGCTGCCCGGTGCTGTGCTGTCCCGTGCCAGCCTCCCACACGGGATCTCGGTGCCGTGCCAGCCGTGCCAGCCGTGCCCCCGCGGGGCCGGGATGCAGCGGAGCATCCCCGGGCTCTGCCGCAGGCGCTGCCCGCGCCGCCGCTCCCGGAGCCGGCTCCGGAGGCGCATCCCTCGGGCAGGGCACTGCCCCGGGCACCGCGGGCAGGGCACGGCGCTGGGGCTGGGGCCGGTCCGGGATCGCCCCGCTGCCCCTTCCCTCCCTCCGTCCCTCCCTGCCGCGCCCGCGGCTCCGCACAAAGGAGCCCCGCAGCCGCTCACTCACCTGCGCCGGCCGCGTCCTGCGGCTCCGGGGCTGCGTGCGGCCGGCAGCCCGGGCAGGGCGAGCCCGGCAGGGACCCGAGCCCGGCAGGGACCCGAGCCCGGCAGGGACCCGAGCCCGGCAGGGACCCCGAGCCCGGCAGGGACCCGAGCCCGGCAGGGACCCCGAGCCCGGCAGGGACCCCGAGCCCGGCAGGGACCCGAGCCGGCGCCGCTGGCCCGCGGTGCCGCAGCTGCAGCGAGGGTGGGAGCGCTCCGCACCCCCTCGGCAGCACCATCTGAGCCCAGCCGAATTTGTCAACTTTATTTAGGGGGAAGAACGCATCACATGGGAGCCTCTCCGAGCTGGGAGGAGCGTGCGGTGCGGAATCAGGTCACCGACAGAAAGCCGAGCCAGCCGCGGCCACCGGCAGAGAGAGCCTGAGACAAAGGCAGGGCAGCTGACGGGAATTCCGCCGCTCTCTCCCCTTCTCTGGCCATTAAACCCGGTAATTTCGCGCTCCTTTCGTCAGGTGAGGTTTCCTAATCAAGTACGAAACAGAGTGCAATGTGCAAGAAACCTTTTCAGCTTCCGAGCGCTTTTGAGCACATTCATCCTGCCCAGCATTCCCACAGCCTTTCCTCTGCCCGTTTCTGCCTCTGTCCTGCTGTGCTGCATCGATCCAGCCCCAGAGAAATGGATGCTGGACCCATTCCCAAGCACCACATCCGACAGTGTCCCTGTGGAATATCCACCTCTGTCTCAAAGCTTTAATTTGCATCTCCTGCTCAGACAAAGGCTGGAGGCTGCAGCCTGATCCCCACTGCCCCACGGGCTGAGGAATCCTCGTGGAGCTGCACCTTTTCCTGCTCTTTCTCATTCTTTAATGGCTAGCAAAGCTCCCAAGCACAGGCAACACGAAATTTGCCCCCCTGCTTGCTGCCAGGACCGTGTGATTTTTAATATCATTGTTTATTTCATCAGCACACATTGCCAAAGAGCTGTGGTGGGTTTGGGTTATTCAGAGGCCAGGATTTGAGTTTGGATCCCTAAATACACACGGATCTTGTGAAGGAGTGGGCCTGACTTTTTTAGGTGCTAAGCAACTGTTCTTGTGCATTTCCATCTGCCTTGAAGTCACATCCCACCCTCTCCACCTTCCTCATGTCCACACTTTGAGACAGAAATGAGCCTTGCAAAGTAGGCTGGCTCCTTCCTCTCCTGCCAGGAGCTTTCTGCCCAAAGGAAACTCCATCCTGCCCCACAGAAAATCCATCCTGAAGCAGGACACCTGATGGAAGGGAGTTGGGAGCCAGGGGAGTTGCCACTGATGTGTCCAGGGAGGGTAAAAACCCAGGGGAGGGCATCTGCTGCAGCCAAAAATGGCTCAAGCAGCCATGGAACAAGTGGCAGCTGCCTACAGAGGGACTTTCCTTCCTTCAGCTTGCAGAAATTATCCAGCCTTGGCACTTAAAGGCTGGAACAGTCAAAATGTTGATTCTTGGCACCTTCTTAATGAAGCCTCTGGATTAGAGAGGATGTAAATGAGGATATCACACCAGGAAAACAATCCTCACTCCAGAGAGCACCCAAAGAAAAAAACCGAGTCCCTTGGTGGGCACTGCAGTCCTGGCTGGAGCAGAACTTCCCATTCCTTGCTTTCCTCTCCCCAGAACAGGGGGAAGCTGTCCCAGGCTCCTGCTTCCCGTGGCTCCAGAGGCTCCAGGGAGTGCAGCTGCCCCTGATGGAGGGAGAATTCAGCCCCAGCTGGTTCCTTGGAGGGCAAATCGATGAGTGCACGGAACTCTTTGCAGCTCTGCTCCAGCACAGCCTGGCCTGGGCCTGGCCCAGGGAAATGGGAGTGCCTGAGGTTGGAAACGGGGGTGTGTGTTCAATTCCCATCTGTCAGAGCTGGGGCAGATCTCTGCTGTTCTTTGGGCAGTTTTCTTCATCTCTCCACAGCCAATCCTCCCTCCAGGAGATCTCTTCTGTCCATGGGCCATTAATTATTAATTATCTCCTGTTCATGGCCAGTGAGTGTCCCTGCATGGCTGAGAAAATTCCATCATCCCATGGGGAGATGCTGCACCCAGGGGAGGAGCCAAACATTCCTACCTGGATACAATCTGACCTGGGAACAGCACAGCAGCCTTTGCCCCCTGCATTCCCAGAGGAGCAGCTTCCTTCCCCCTGCATTCCCAGAGGAGCAGCTTCCTTCCCCCTGCATTCCCAGAGCAGCTTTCTCCCCCCCTGCATTCCCAGAGGAGCAGCTTTCTTCCCCCTGCATTCCCAGAGGAGCAGCTTTCTTCCCCCTGCATTCCCAGAGGAGCCCAGGCCCATCTCCCCCAGCCCTGGAGCTCCAAGGAAAACTCCCCCCTTGTGCAGGATCCTGCTCCAGCAGAAGCACAGCTGGCACTGCAGGAGGGCTGAGCCCCCCTGGGATGGGGCTGAGCCACCTCCCTGACCCACAGGGGACAGGGCTGCTCTGACTCTGCAGTGCTGTTTGTACTATTGCATTTGTATTTTTTATTTTTCCTAGTAAAGAGCTGTTATTCCTACTCCCATATCTTTGCCTGAGAGCTTTTTCATTTCAAAATTATAATAATTCATAGGGAGGAGCTTTACATTTTCCATTTCAAGGGAGGCTCCTGCCTTCCTTAGCAGACACCTAGCTTTTCAAACTAAGACAGGGAGATTTCTTCAGGAAAACCTGGGGATTGGGGCCTGGGGACTGAGCTTGCTGTGCAGCTTCCCCCTGGCCTGGATTTCAGCCCAGGGAGGATCTATCCCCCTGCACAGCTGCTCCAGGTGTTTGAGGGTATTTCGTGACAATCTCTCTGATTGCCAGGCAGCAGGAGACCTGTCAAAGGCTCCTCCAGCCCTGGTCACCTCTCATTTATCTTTCATCCCCAAGTTCTTTCTTCCTCACCAACTGAAGTTTTCTGTCTCCTGCACTTCATGAAACTTTCCTTTTATATTTTTATACACTGCTGCTTGCTGAAGTGTCTGATGTCAAGTGAAAATCTATACATAATATGTGTCTAAATGCATATTTATATAAATTCACCCATATACATATGCAAAGACCTGGGAATGCAAATTCCTCCCTGTTTGCATTGGTGCAAGGGGAGTTTTTCCTCTGGTTTTATTACATTTCACTCTCCCCAACACTTTGCCAATGAGCTCAGCCTATAAGGAATGTCTGAAAAGATTTTAATATATTTTTATGCTACATTTAAGCTTTTCTTCAAATGCTTGCTCTTAATCTTCTATGACTAATCCAGGCAAATTCCTCACTCTATCAGATTTCCACTTCCTGAATCTCCTCTATTTTAAGGCTTGCCACAGGTCAGGAATTGTATCAATAACCTGAAGATTGTGGCTCTCAGGGAGCTGTTGACAGGGACAGGGTCAGTGTTGATTTGGCACAGCTCTGTCTCCTCCAGGAAAACTTACAATGCCCAGAAAATCTGGAAAACCTTGATTTCAGTAAGACTTCAGGAAGGAATTCTGGACTGTGAGGGTGGGGAGGCCCTGGAACAGAATTCCCAGAGCAGCTGTGGCTGCCCCTGGATCCCTGGAAGTGTCCAAGGCCAGGCTGGAGCAGCCTGGGACAGTGGGAGGGGTCCCTGGGTACAGATGGGTGACCCAAGGAGATGATTCCCAGGGAAATGTTGTTTTTTCCATGTCCACACTGCTGTCAAAGTGCTCTTCTCATGCAGAGCCTGGAGCAGGTTCCTCACCTTTAATGGTCCCCTCTTGGAGCAGAGAATCAGGAATGTGGCTTTTCTTAATCCCAACAAAGCTGGGAGGCATTAAAACCAGAATTATTAAAAGCAAAGTTTCCCCTGAACACCAGACCATCAAATTCCTCCTCACTGGATAAAGTTATAAATATTGACTGCAGGGGAAGAGCAAAATTTAGAGGCAAACAGAGTGAAAGGAAAGCTCATCATGCAGAAAGTTTGTGTGGGGTTGTTGCTCCCTTCCATCCTAAGTGGAAGGCTTGGCTTTATTAAGAGAGACAAAATTGACTTAATAAAAAAATGAGTTAAGAGCTTGTGAAAAACGCCAGTCACTTGGTTTTTAAAATTTTAAAGGTTTAATAATAATAAAATGGTTATAAAAATAGTAATACAATTAGAGTAATAAAGTTTAGAGGTAGGACAATTACAAGACAATAAAAAGCAAAGAATTATGGACATCCAGTGCATATTCATACATCCTTCATGGTTATGCATACATTCTGTTCTAAACAAGAAACTCTGTCTGTTGTATATCAACTGTTTCCTTTAATCCCCACGGCATCTTTGAGTCTGAGCAAGGCCTGAAGAAATTAGCTTCTTCTGATAAGAAGCCACAAATTCCTCTCCTTTGGAAGATTTAGGTGTTCCTCAAAGCAAATATCTCATTCCTAAAAAAAACTTCCCCCACATACACAGTCTCTATTTTAACATGTTGGAACCTAAAACTACACTTAACACAATACGTAATAGAATTAATACAGCATAACTTTCTAACATTACACATCTAATATTCATTGTAACATTTGCGAAAAGCCAATCATAAAATATGCATTTTTCACAGAGCTCATAATGTAAAAGTGGCTCAGCCAGCACTGCTGATCTCTCAGTCTCAGTGATTTTCATTGCACTCGGCCTGATCATGAATGGTGGGATGTGGGCTGAGATCTCTGAGGCATTGTTGGAATTCTCAGGCTGCTCCCCCATCTCTGAAATGGCTCCTGAGGAAAAGTGACAGCTCCTGAACCCTTTATTCCAGGGAGGGGGCAGGCAAGGGGATGTGGTGGGAGCACAGAAATTACAGAACCTGAGGCAGGAAGTCAGCAATTCCTCATTAATCTGCCTTTTGGGGAGAGTGAGGAGAAATCCAGAGGAACTGAAAGGCTTTAGAGGTGATATTAATGGACAGGGATGCTGCTGCCCAGGGCACAGAGCTCCCCTGTGGAATTCTGTGCTGCAGGTGTGCTTGAGGCTGGAAGCCTTGAAGGATTCCTGGGAAGGTGCCTTGTGGGGGTGGGAGCAGCCTGGGCTGTAAATCAGCACCTGCAAAGAGGAAATTCCCTCTGGGGGCAGATTTCCTGCTCTCCTTTGGCTCTGGGTGTGCAAAAGCAGCTTTGGAGCTGCT